CGTTAAATTTCAATTATTAGTGCATAGATATAACAATATAAAATGATATAAAATGATACATATAAAATACACAAGACACCCTAATAATGCATCTCATGCACCCGCACATAAAACTTCCCCGAATTTTGTTATCAAAAACACCTTGTATCAGAACGTGAGTGCTTTCTTCATCCGCGTTGCTCAAACGCGACCCTAGGTAACGCTCAGAAAAAAGTTCTCGAGTTACCCAAATTGCAGCCAAAAAATTTCACGGGGCCGTGCGTAGCCACCACGCAAAACGGGGGCTGAATTTGATAAATTCAAGTTGTAGATGTATTGAGAACATTTCTCGAAAGTTTCAGCCTCCCAGCTTCCCAGGTTCCGGAGTTATTCATTTTTACCGCCAAAAACTTTCACGGGGCCGTACGTGGCTGCCACGCACATTGGGGGGTTGAATTTGATAAATTTAAGTTGTAGATAGTTGGGAGCATTCCCTGTCCTTTCCCCTTTTTTAGGTTTCAATAGCCCTCACCGTACCCGTAGCATAGGGCTTAACGGGCAACCCTACCCGTCGTCCATACAAAAAATTTTTGGCTGATTGTGTAAGACACCAGCCGAGCCGAGCCGAGCCGTGCCGAGCCGAGCCGAGTTTTAGTAACTGCTGGATTTTTCGCTTACTTTTACTTTCTTTCTTGCTTGTGCTTTTTTTTTGCTTTCCTCCTTTCAAGCCAACGCCTCCTCCCTTCTCCCTTACGTGGCTGGGCAACTGCCAAAGGATTTACTTCACGCAGTTATTCAATGTGTTCACCCAACCTGTTTCCCCTTCCTTGAGTCTCTGCGCGCGAAACTCCCCTCCCCTCCCCCATCCCTACCCAGCCCCTCTCCGTATCTCGAATCCAACACTCAAATGTGTGCTCATGCATGCCAATCCTCTTCTCCCACCCCTTTCTCTCCCCCGCTCCTTTCTATGCTCTCTGCAGTGTACTTCCCTCCCAAGTACTTTCCATACCCTGCGCATTCGCGGCAAAACCAATAATACGGATCCTCCCTCCTCCCGCCCATCACCCCTGTCTCCCCTTCGTAGTCACGCCACATTTCCACTCAACCCACCCAACCATCCCCTCCCCCTGTCCACGACTCCGCAGTCACCATATTCACACGACCCCTTCCTCCCCCTTCCCCTTACCGTCCCCTACCCTTCCCTCTACTACACGATCTGCCAGTCAATTGGCAAGTCGTGCAGCTACCGAGATTGGCCGAGGTGAGCCGAGCCGGGCCGATTTTTAGTAATTGCTCTTTTGAGTGCTTTAGAAATATATTTTTTTTTTTGAACTGATAATGTACAGACACGTCATTTACTTTCTGCTCACCTTTCTAGCATACTTTTTGATGGTTTGGAGCTGTCGAAATTCTATTCATCGGAAGTGATAGGTCAACATGAGGTATATAATTTAGTGCTCTCCCTAGCTATTCTGTTCCAAACCCCGGGAAGTTACCACTGCTTGCTGTAGGCAGGAACTCTCATCAGTAAGTTGCTGAAAGGGTGTGTGCGTGTGTGCACGTGCTTGTATGAAAGTAAACGTGTGTGCACGCGTGTGGATTTGTGAATACGAGTTTGTGTTTGGACATCAGTGTCTGTGTTTTGCGTTTATGCGTATTTGTGTGTAAGATGTGCGTTTTTTGTGCATGAAAATTTATCTTGCAAATGATGGCAACGGAACATTGCACCTGTGCTGATGACAGGTGCAGTTTGTAGCATTGTAAAAGATTTCAAGTGTTCGGCGGTCTTTCGCGTAAGTATTTTGCAAAGTTCGAAGCCTATGGATTGCTGATGAAACGCTGTCCGCGGAACCAGCGAAGCGAGGGCGGCGGTGCTGCTCCGACATACAGTCCAACAAAAAGTTCCACCTGAAAGTATCTTTGTATTTTAGTGAAAACTGTAGAAATCCACATCAGTTTTCAGTTCATAGCTCAGCAAATTTAAAATTTTGCAGTTTTCTCCACAGATTTAAAATTTTTGATGAAACAGTTTTTTTCACTTAATATTCAGGATTGTTTAATTAGTGATCCTTCACGACTTTCGGGATTTAGGAATTTTAAGTTTTTGTAAACTTTTTCAAAATCAGAATTTCTGATGCCGTAATCACATCACTCTGTCTGCATCGGTTTTGTGGCACTGCTGTTCAACAGCTGCCAAGCGAGTTCTTTTTACTTCACCCTTGTCCTTTGGCCACTCAGCAGCATCCACTGTTTGAATCTGCGGCTTCTTTGAATCTAGGAGTCTTGCGCATTGAAAACCTGGATCTCGAAAACTGTGTCGATTCTGCAGCGGCGACTACCTCACATCATCTCCGGGGGTCTCCTTTCTCTGCTTCATAAGAAAAACATTACACGTCTAGCGGGCAGCGTGGTGGCTGATGTAAGCCGCGATCAGGCCATGTGAAGCATTGCTGAATCTCGTCCACAGTGCGCTGATAATGTGGTTCTGCACCGAGCGTTACACATTCCCATCCTAGAACTCCAAACATCCTGAAAAATTTCATTTTTGTCATGGCTTTTTTGATATCCTCATCGACATTGCTGCAGCCACAGAGTTGACAAGGAAGAAACTTAGTCGACAGCGCACCGGCTGCCACTGCGAGGATGCGTTTTTTGCTAGTTCCCCCGCAGGTTTTTGTTGGTAATGGCACTGTTTTTTCCCGCAGATGCTTCTTGCTAAAAGAATTCAGCGTAGCCACCACGACTGTTAGAAACTATTAAAATGACTCCCAGTGCATGCTCAAGAAATTCAGCATTCTAGATGCTTCGTTGCGAACTTACGCCAAATTTCACCTATTCGCATATAGATGGCGACGCCAGTGCTGTTAAAACGTGTACTTACATGGGTAAGCTCAGAAAATTTCAGCACCCCAACTGCTCTGGTTTGGGATTGTGCAAAAGTTCACGTGTTCGTACGTGAGGGGCAACATGAATGCTATCTTCGCATGTAATTGCTCGAACAGACCCCAGAATCACGCTCGGTAAATTTCAGCGCTCTAGCTATTTTGGTTGCAAAGTTACTTTAAATTTCACATGTGTGTGCACGCGAGACGTACGTGAGACATGAAAGGAGCATGAAAGTCGTTTTGCGTCCATCTGGTCAATGGCCACGTCTATTATGCCCAGAAAGCTCCAGTCTTCTAGCTGCTTCAATTCTGAAGTTACAAACTGCCTGCGTGAAATTTTCACGTGTCCTACGTAAGATGCAGAGGGGCTGGGAAGTTCAATTTACTTTCACGAACAAAACAGTAGGCAACAAGTAACGCTGCTAACTGCAGCTCCCTGCAACTTCTTGGTCAGCTTAAATCTGGAGTTAGCATGATCCAGTTCAAACTTTGGCGTATGCGTACGTGAGACCTAAGGGTGCGTGAAGGCTGAATTTGAAATCTTTGATTAGACGCGATCAAGGAATATCTCTGTAAAGTTTCAGCCTCCTGGCTTGCGCCGTTCCCGAAAAGCTTTCTCGCCAAAAAATTTACTTGCTCATACGCGAGACCACGCGGAAGTGAGCGTCCATTTTGCGAGTGAAGGCTCGCACGTATGTGGGTGGGACTTGCACTAATTTCCAGCCTTTCAGCTTTCGTAGATCTCAACATGAAGACTCGTTACAGAAGCACACGCAGACACAAACACACACACACACGAACAACCTCTCGACAATATGCGTTTTTGCATTGCATCGATGCAAAAAAACATAAAAAAGAGAATAAAGGTTTTAATGTTTTTTCTAGGAAAGCGTTAAATTTTTTTCAGTAAAATTTTCTTTTTAATGACCAGTTAATGCTTCTTAACATAAATCTTTGTTCAAATATCAATACTGTTCACAATTTTCTAAGTGTTTTGCACAAATTTTACTAAATGGCGAAAGTTATAACAGTGGTATAAATGTATAGATGTTTTTTTTTTTAACAGTGGTTTCAAAAACTTAATTTTTTTCTTCCAGCGTTTCCCCGAACAATTCTTTTAACTCATCTTCGAATGATTCCGCGTTTGACGTGAATGCAAAAGAGACTGCACGGGTGATCCATGGACCAAAATATGGAAATTTCGTAAAAAACGTATAATCAAATTACCAGACATCGCTTTCGGGACGATGTGTGACACGGGTCCGGTCCAGGCTACTGACAATCTCTGGTGGCAACCATGGAATCGGCAAGCGCGGTCCGAAATCGATCGGTAATCCGAAATCACCGAGCTTTGCGGTGCACATGAAAATTGCCCTCTGTATAATGCATACTACAACTGGGACATATGTAACCTATAATTCGATCTATTTCCCTTATCTCACTAATCCTTAACACTTCGACCTATTTCGCTCCACTCACTAATTTCTAACAGTTTCACCAAATTCTAAATAATCCCTTATTACCTACCTTCTCACTTACTAATTACCTTGTCCTCCTTTCCCCTCCATTAATTTTTCCTATATAAACCTCTTCCGAAAACTTGGTCCGGAGTCTCGGAATCAACGTTCGTCACCGGTCTGCCACGTCCTGCCACAACTAACTCTACTAACTGGCTGTCTCCACACGGCTAGCGTCCCCCTTCTGCTCAATAGCTTGTGCTGTGCCTCGGCTCATCGTTTTATTGAAGTGAAGCTTTTGTTGGGAATAAAGTGCTGACACTCTTCGCTGTCTTCTGCTGCTGTCAAAGACCACGTGCGGACATAACACATGTTTTGAGTGATGAAACTCAAAATCTAGTTGTTAGTGCACTTTTCCAGGAAACACCCAGGGAATTTACTGAAAACTTCGCCTGTGCTTTAGCAAAATACCAATTAATTTACTAAAGCAGTTTTCAAATTCCGACATCCTGATCGTCCTTCGGAGTTAGCATCTTCTGCGACATCATCTCTGAATCAGTTCACCAAAATTCAACAAAACCTAACTGACTGCTTGTTTCTCGTCATTCACATCGTTAGTGTTGCAGACTTTTGCGAAAAGCTGGTATGAACTGGGAGAAGAAAGCATTCTGCTTGCAGTAGCAACAGTTAGGCACTACTGAGTGTATGTATGAGGAGCCATTTTCTGGAGATTCAAAACTTGTCCATTTCAGACATGGAGCATCGCAGCCTAGAGCGGGTCAGTTAACACATCACGATTCGGCAGTTTCCACCTGTTTCATGAACTTGCTGAAGGATCTCCGTAATCGGTCTCAGAAATAGGAATATCAGTTGATGTCTAGCTTTAACAAGCTCAAGCGAAAACAAATGTGCTGCGTCCTTTCCACACTTTG